TCTTTTCTTGATATATGACTCACTTGCTGGGAAAAAGACTGCTGCACCTGCACGCCCTGTATCAGGATCTTTGGAGCCATCTGTGAATATAAACATGGAGTCTGAAAAATGTAAATCAAAGTAATTCTGTACTATACTGCATGCTGGAAGTTTCTTTGACATATCCTTCAACTCCTGCTGTATGTTTAGATCTACAATTGGTGTTGGGAATAACCAGGGAGGAATGGAAGACTGTGACACTGTAGGGCTGTAGTCTAATTGTCGTAATCCTATGACTTCTGCCTTTGCATCACCAATCCACCCAAAACTTGTGAAATTTGTCTCATTGTGTTCCCAGCAATCTATTAAGAGACTCTTGGCAGGATGAGAGTCACTTTGCCCCTGGAGATTAACCCAGTATGCCAACATTAACTTTACTCGCCTGATTCTTAACGGCATTTCTCCCATTTCCACCTGCATTGCTGACACCGGAGATGTTCTGACTGATCCACTGCAAATTCTCAAGGCCTGAGCTTGTAATACATCCAACTTCTTAAGGTTTGATTCTGCTGCTGACATGTACGCTACACATCCATAGTCAAAAACGGATCTCATGAGTGCCCAGTATATATTTTGTAGAGCTGCTCTGCTTGCTCCCCACTCTTGTCCTGACAGACAACGAAGTATATTGATGACCTTTTTACACTTGTTCTTAACTTTATCTAAATGAGTATTCCAGGTGAGCTTCTCATCAAACCAAACCCCAAGAAATTTAATTGTTTTGACTTGCTTAAGTGGTTGTTCATATAACTTCATGGAAATAGGCGTGACTTTATGCCGCCTTGAGAAACAGATCACCTGTGTTTTTGCAACAGATAACTTGAATCCCCATTTATTTGCCCATTTTTCCACAGCAGCTATTGCAGCTTGCATTTTCTTACTGACGTGCAACACATTGCGGCCTCTTACCCACAGAGCCCCGTCGTCTGCGTACAAAGATTTCCCTACGCTTTGTTCAACCTGAGAGAAGATGTCATTTATCATTATGTTGAATAGCAATGGGCTGCACACACTACCTTGCGGAGTTCCATTTTCCACCTTATATACACTGGAGTATTCTGTGCCAACTCTTACTTGTATTTCCCTGTCAAATAGAAAGTTCATAACCCAATTATATGTTCTACCACCAATACCCAATGACTTCAACTTAATAAGTAACCCTTCTTTCCAGAGCATATCATATGCTTTTTCAACGTCAAAAAATACAGCTATCAGTATTTCTTTGTTGGTCTGTGCTTTCCTGATGTCTGATTCTAGGCACAGTACTGAATCCATTGTATTCCGACCTCTACGGAACCCACTCTGGTACGGGTACAGAAGAGCTTTACTCTCTAGGAAGTATGTTAAACGCTCTGTGACCATTCGTTCCATAATTTTGCACAAGTGTGAGGTTAATGCAATAGGTCTATAACTGGAAGGGTCTGACTGATCTTTTCCTGGTTTTGGAATGGGCACTATTATTGCTTGTTTCCAAGCTAAAGGAAGTTGGCCAACATCCCAAACTTTATTAAACAAACCCAACACCGTGTCTAGTGCACTATCTGTCATGTGTGCCAACATTCCATAACATACAGCGTCCTTCCCTGGAGTGGTCTGACGAGCACTCGTAATTGCTCTTCTTAGCTCAAACATATTAAACGGTAGATCTAACGGATCTCCTGACACCTCCCTTTTCTCTGTTATTTTGGGATTCTTCATTAAGATTTCCTCTCTACACTGCCTAGCCTCATCTGTGAGATTACACGAACTATGAACCCTTTCAAATGTTTGTGCAAAAAGTTCCGCCTTTTCTAAGTTATTGACAGCCATTTTGTTCCCAGTGTTCAACACTGGTATCTCATAATTTCTTCTAATCCCCCCCATTCTTCTAATCATGCCCCATACATCTGACAGCTGTACTTCCCTTCCAATAGTGCTACAGTACTGCCTCCAAAATGTTCGTTTTTGTGTTCTAATTGTCCTCCTTACTATTGCTTGGGCCCTTTTATACTGGATCAATGCATCCTGAGAATGATGTTTCTTGAGCTCTCTAAATGCTTTATTCCTGGCCTTTATGGCTTTACTACAGTTGTCATTCCACCAGGGTACACTCTTGGTCCGTTTAGTTCCTGTACTCTTAGGGATTGTTTCCTCAGCAGATTGAATAATCTCATTAACTATTGTACTATTGATTATGTTTACATCTGTCTGGTTCTCCTCTTTGAGTTTCTTGAATCTGTTTGTACTGATCTTTTGAAAAACATCCCAGTTAGCATTTCCCAATTTCCATCTGGGAGTTTTCTTTCCCTCATCATAAAAACCTTCAATGCCAACTTTAGTTACCACAGGGTAGTGATCACTTCCTATTGTGGTATGTTTGATCACACTCCATGTGCTTAAACCTGCTATTTCACTAGACACCAGTGTTAAATCAAGCGCTGCCTCTGTGTTTTGCACACTATTGTATCGTGTTCCTTCCCCATTATTAATACATACCAAACAGTGATTATCTATAAATTCTTCAACTGCTAAACCATTTAAATCGGTTTTATTGCAACCCCATAGTGAGTTATGTGAATTGAAATCCCCACACCATATCACATTATCTTGCAATAGTCCTCCTACATTCTCTAGTATATCTAGACTTATTTTCCCACAAGGATTATAGTAATTAATTATGCCAATATTACCTCTATTAGTCCATACCTTAACCGCAATTGATTCATGATCTGTGCTTATACGTATAACCTTATAACTCATTCCATTTTGTATGAATGTCACAACGCCTCCACCATTGCCAGGATTTCTGTCTCTCCTAACAGCAGTATATCCCTTTATAATAAAGTCCAACTGTGGCTTTAACCATGTCTCCTGTATACAAATTATATCAGGTTTCTCTTCCAATTTATCAATATACTTTTTGAACTCTTGGCCATTTGAAATTAAGCTTCTTGCATTCCACTGGAGTATAATTAGCACCATTAAGAGGATCCAACACATGTCTGAGATGACTGATTATCTTCATTAAGAATGTCTTTAACTGTTTCCCAGTGCAGCCCCCTCACATCAAGGTACTTCTCAGCTGATTTGACAATTATTTTGATCCTTTCATTTCGGCTTTTTGTCTGTGCTGAACAGTTGACAATATCTGCCATAAAGAATACAAAGTCATTCTTGTTCACAATCAGAGTTTCCTCCTTCACTTTATCGCACCCTACACATTTCCCTGCATCTTTATTTCTAGTGTCATTTTGCCTTGTCACCTGCGCGTCTCCTGAAACCTTCTTTGCTGCCTCTGCGTAGCTTATTCCCTGAGTAGCCTTGACTCGCTGCACCTCTGCCGCTCTCTTACTAACTTCGCATCCGCGGTAAGCTGAGCTATGTTCTCCTCCACAATTACAACACTTCAGCTTTGTCCCCTCTGCACATTTGCCATACTCGTGGTTTCCACCGCATCTACCACACGTTTGCTTTCCCTTGCACACGGAGGTGGGGGAACATACGGCCTCACATCATAACACATATATCCAATAAAGATCTTTTCCGGGAGTCTTTCCTCATCAAATGTGATCAGTACAGAGAGACTGTCACTTTTAATCCCATTTCTGCTTGCTTTAAGACGTCTGACTTCACTCACTTTGGCATTTGTTACATTTCCTTTAACATCATCTGCTGTTACATTTACTGGAATCCCTGTAATAACTCCCCTGACCAATTTTCTGTCAGTCATCAGAGAACATTGTACTTTCTTGCCATTTATTTTATTCATTCTGACTGCTTTTCCTTGTTGTACTCCATCCTTACATATAATTAGTAAGGATCCATTTCGCAATATTTTAGCACTCCTTACCTCCCCGATTTCTTTACTTATGGATTTAGTTAGCTGTATTGGATTCCAATCGCAGAATGAAGCCCCATCTTGCACAAGTTTTACTATTGCCTTGAAATCCTCTCTCCTCCTTTCAGTTACAGTTGCTCTCCCGTCACTATCACTCCCATCCGATCTTAGGCTCTTTTTACGCTTATTTTTCCTACCTGCTATATTCCACTTTTCATAACTCCCGCCACCTTCGACCATCTCTCCTAACTCACTTCCTGAACCGTCACTTCCTTCTGCCATCTCTCGTCCACCAACCACAGCTCATCAGGCGTCCCTCCGATCCTGACATGCACTGTGAGCTGTAAGGTCTTATATAGACAGGTGTGTGGCTTTCCTAATCAAGTCCAATCAGTATAATCAAACACAGCTGGACTCAAATGAAGGTGTAGAACCATCTCAAGGATGATCAGAAGAAATAGACAGCACCTGAGTTAAATATGAGTGTCACGGCAAAGGGTCTGAATACTTATGACCATGTGATATTTCAGTTTTTCTTTTTTAATAAATTTGCAAAAATTTCTACATTTCTGTTTTTTTCTGTCAAGATGGGGTGCTGAGTGTACATTACTGAGAAATAAAATGAACTTTTTGATTTTTGGAAAATGGCTGCAATGAAACAAAGAGTGAAAAATTTAAAGGGGTCTGAATACTTTCCGTACCCACTGTATATATATATTTAAATATATGTATATGTGTATATAACATAAGCTACAAATCAATCTATTTAACTATGGCCATGTATATACAATATAACAAAGTTATATGGTCAAAATTTGCCGATTGGACCTTTGATGCCAGCCAGGGAACATGCTGTAAAACAATTTCACACCTGAAATACATGTGGAGAAGAAATGGTGTGAAACATGGTGCCTGATTTATCACTCGTTAACGGCCCAGAAAGACACCACAAAGAAGTTAAAACGAGTTTAAATGATTCATACTTAATATATTTTTCGATGTAAATGCTGTGGTAAAAAATTACCACTTTAAAAGGTTCTCAATTTAACCTACAGCTCATGGGAGAACGGAAGAAGAAAAAACTACATTTCCCAGGTTGCAGTGCACATTCTAGTTGAAAGGTCGACGACGTCAAACCATGCGTCAGATTCATGCTGCCTGGAACAATAACAAACAGTTGAATTAGCTGGGACATTAACGTAGCGTTTACAACTGTTATTTATTTTGTGTTGGTATTGTAGCTCAGTGTTAGCAGAAATGTCCGGAAAGGCCAAGGATATCCTACAGATGGACCTGTATGGTTTACTCGGCATTGAAAGCACTGCTACAACGAAAGAGGTGTGTAAATGAAGTTAGCTAAGCTAACAGTTAAGCTAGTGACATAAAACGCCGTTACTGTTTAGTTAGCCGTTCTTTTTAGATTGTTGTTTTAGTGGACTGTTTATCCAACTGTTAGCTAAATGTTAAAAAGCAGTTGTGTTTCTACAAGGAGAGACTGTAAGTGTGTGAGGATATTTTTGCCTGGAAGCAGGAGGTTATGATAGCTTGCTACTATGGAGCTTGTATAAGTGTGTGTGTGTTTATATCGTGTGTCCGTGTATAACAACGTAACACACAGAGAGTAATTTTTCTGTTTAGAGACACGTCAGATAAGTAAAGCGAGGAAATAAAATTTCGGTCTAGTGAGACCACCAGGTAGCCAACGACAGACAAACCTGCTGATGGCTGAATCGCAAAAAAAGGTGTGATACACAGAAAAGGCCGCTTAGTGGCGACATCACATCAGTAAAGTCTTTGGTATCGGTATAGTGAGGGTGGATATAATGTCTGGCACTGCAACCAACTGTTGTCCTCATCAATTAATCGGTTTGGTTTATTAATTGTAAAAACAGTACACATTTCCCAAGGAGATGTCATCAAAGTGCTTGTTTTATATGACAAAAAGTCAAAACCCCAAAGATATTCATCTTGCAATGATATAAAGCATAGAAAATAAGCTAATTATCACAGTGGAGAAGCTAGTAGCATGAAATATTTTGCATTTTTCTTTAAAAACAATTAAGTGATTATTAAAAAGTTGCCAAATATTTTTTTGTCACTGGAATAATCAATTAATTAATTGAGTAATTAAAGTAGACTAAATAAGTTGTTTCAGCGCTAAGAAATTCTAAATAGTATGGATGTGAACAGAGCTGCAACGATTAGTCGATTAATCGAGTAATTGTCACCTGTTAAGTTAATCGGCAACTATTTTGTTAAATGATTAATCGTTTTGAGTCTTTTTTTAAGAGAAATGATCAACTTCTCTGATATCAGCTTCTCAAATGTAAATATGTTCTGGTTTCTTTACTCCTCTGTGACAGTAAACTGAATATCATTGGGTTCTGGGCGAAAAAAGAGACATCTGAGGACGTCGCTTTAGGAAACACTGCAATATTTTTCACCATTTTGTGGACCAAACAACTAAAAGATTAATGAAAATAAGCGATAGATTAAACAATAATGAAAATAATCGTTAGTTGCAGCCTTAGATGTGAATTTATTTATTTATGGTTTTGAGTCTGCCAACTGAATGTATATTCCTTATCTAAAATTTAACCAACATAATTGATCACTTACATTGTAAGTGAGGAGTGGCAATATGATTGCGTCTGATAACGCTTGAACAATAAATTTTTGGGGGGCAGGAGTTCCTCAAATACTAAGCACAGCTTATTTACAGAAGGTTACATCTGTTTTTGGACCTCTACATACTAGAAAGAGAATATTGCCTGAATGATATTTCGTGCCTGCATGGATTTCCAATCAACTCTGAGAAGGTTCCCTTCCTGTCCTCTTCATTTCCAGCCCAGAGCTGAATCCAGCCTTTTCCCTCCGACCACCTCTCCTCACAGTTTCCAGCATCTAGAATCCACAGGCCCAAAGGGAAATTAGAATCGCTGCCAAAACGAGGGAAGAAGTTAATTTCTTAATTGGATTTCAAAGTCCTGTCCTCCCCGGAGGATTATCCTGGAGGAAGTTAGTGGTTGTGGCTTGGGTAGAACTGAAACTCCCAAATGCAGAAGGCTGATTCTGTGAGGTCTGTTGATGGTCGAGGGAGATAGAAAGGGTTTGTGTGTGTGTGTGTGTACGTATAGTGCATTGAGTCCGGAGGGAAGAGAATCAATCAAGTGTGTGAAGACAGATGTCATCAGATGGGCTACTTATCCCAGTTGTTTGGCCCGCTGCGCCACCACTATCAGGCATGTTGTTTATCACAGGGGGGGGGGGAGCTCACCCCAGGGCCTGTTTATGTGGGCTTAGCCACAGCTTGTAAAACATTGCATTGACGTAGGGTATGCGCGTTCTGCATCTCCTCCTGGTTCTATTTAGCATCTCTTTCTGTTATCAGTGCTGTTCACCTTCTTCTGAGCTTGGCTGGCTGATAAATGATGATGGAAACTGGCATGTCCGAGTCTATGATTTAATGACAATGGATGACTGGGGTTTCCTTGTAGCGCTGAGGGAGGCTTTTGCAGGAGGCAAAAGAGTTTAAAGAGTTATACTGATGCGTAGCTTGTGTGTTTTACCTACCACAGATATTGCTTGGTGAAACAATGTCAACAGCCAAGACCACACATAATTTCTTGTGGTTTATTCAGCTACTCAAATTGTAGTGTACCTGATGTGTTGCCGTATAGGCAGTTACTACAGAGTCACTGACAGAGCAAGGAGAGGCGATTGCTTTACACTGGAGTAGCACATTATAAGCTCTCTGCTCTCAATGATGAGTTACTTCTTAGCTTCTTTCTGCTTGCTCAGGGCAGGCAGGTTATGATTGTTACTGCATCCGACGGTGCACTTTGCACATCATCAGTGATTTAACGTGTAGTCCGCAGGTGTTTTGGGCCTTTCAACATCAGACAGCTTTGCCCAAGCGATTTACATTCAATGCATTCATCTGTGTTCCAGAGTTACACAGTTTTTTATTACATCAGGCAACATGACATAAAAACCTGAGCTAGTTTTCAATTACTGTTGGCTTGGAAACAATTTGCAAAGAAGAACTTTGTAAAATGATTGCAGAATGATAATGACATCTCATCTTCATACCATTCCATTTAAATTAAATATGGGATAATATTGCATGAATGCCCAGTTCGTCAGGAGGTTTGATCAGGTTCACAAGCACATGGGAAGTCAGAGTGTTTCACTTTCTCTTCATTACATCCAGTTTTTCTTCATACTCTCAGCTCTCCTTTTTTCTGTGTTCATGTCCTCTTTGCCCCTGTCCTTGCTTATCTCCTCCCTTCTCCCTGTTGTGCCTGTTATTATTTTCCTCCAGCTGATAATGTCCTGTAAATAGCAGAGTGTTGTAATTAAGGAGGATGGGCCCATGGCAGATCAGGCAGCTAATCAGCCACACAAGCTAGGGGCCTTACCCAGGCTGTGCTGCGGCTTCACCAGAGCCAGTTTGTCAACTATAATTGGCAACAAAGACTGGTGTAATGAGGACAAGATGTGGGCATGCAGTTCCGACTGTGGCAAGCAGGGATCAGGGAGGCACAGAGGGTCTGTTTTTCGCCATGCACTAACCATTAGGCTACTGTAGCCTTGCTGCTGCATGATTGGAGAAATAGAAGACACCACATAAATATTAACATATTTGCTCATCTATAAGCACAAGGGACAGCTGTTGATTTTAGCCTCTTATGGTTTTCTGTCCATGTCTTACTCAGAATTGATCCAAGAGCCAATCCTAAAGGGTCATGGTGACCTGCACAAAGTTAATTGCTAAAGTTATTGACTGGAATAGTCCTGTTGGAAGATGCCACTCTGACCTCTTATCCACACATATGCTAACCTCTTCAAAAGTTGGCCTGCTTCGGCTTCTAGTGTGCAGGACCAAGGGGCTGCAGGGGCTTCCAGCATCAATTAAGGCTTGCGTGTTACGGCATTGATGGGAGTAATCATGTATTATTAACCAAAACCTCACTGGAGGCGCAGTAGAGACAAGATATTGTGAAGGATGCTAGAGAGAGTGAAAAGGAAAAGACAGGAGGAGGGGAGGGAGAGAAAAACCTGAAGAGAAGAATGTGTGTTAACAGCATATTTAACTGAACTCAGAATGACAAAAGATGAGGACACACAACATGGCCACTCAGCACCAGAACAGCATCAATGAAGACAGTTTGTGCTTGTCAAACACCTCAGCTGGCCAGACGTTTTTTTTCCTGACATCTGCTATGTTTACAGCCGATGTGGAGACGTGTTTATCTTGTCAGCTGGCTGCAGGTGTTGAAGAACATGAGAACTAGAGTGAGTGTAAACTGAGGACATGGCAAGAGCTCTTAAAGGACCATAGCAGTGGTTTTGTTTTAACTTCACAGGTGCGAACAGTGTTACTTTACTTTATATTAATATATTTCTTCCATTCCAGGTATCCATTGGTTGAAAGGAATTACAATACAGTAAGCATTTAGTTTAGTCAAAACTGCGTTATTGTTGTGAGGTAATGGAGTGCAGACTTTTTTCCTGTTAATCAATCTGCACTTAAACTGCATTACCACTGACAAACAGTGACAAAAATGAATGCAGACATACTGTGATGGACTACACAACTCAAGAAAGTGCTAGTGTATTATAACTGCTTTTCAATAACCAATAACTGCTCGGTGCGGTAGGGGAAAAAAAAACAACTTCAACTGTATACCTGTATACAGATGAATTTTCTTACTTGTACCTTACCAAAAGTCTATGGAGACTTAGACAAAGCTATGACAGCGAGTGGCGGGAAAAGAAAAAGAAGAATCCGACAGAGGGAGGCTAAAAGGGGGAGTGGGCTTAGGCCAACAGTAAGCGTACGTGTCTGGCGCCAGTCTAGCCCTGTCAGTCTTGATCTGTAGGAAGGCGCTGTGTGCCAAGCAGCCAGACTAAATATCTCTTAATGAAGTCTAGTCTGTCAAAGCCCTCTCAATGAACCAAGTTCTCATTTACTGTTGGAACTATAACAAGAAAAAAATGTAACATTGACCAAGATACAGTAGAAAGGACTTGTGATGTTTAGGAGCTGTCTGAGCCATGTTAGTCTCCAGAGGGCTCACTGGAGACTTGTTGCTTCCATATAATCACGTGGAGGCTTTGCTCTTGTACTTTAGACAATAGGCATCTAGCCTAATGTGTCTATGTTGACTGTCATGGGGAGTCAGTGGAGTTTCTGCTAAAAAGACACTGATGGATTACACCTTTCCGTTCAGTTCCCTCAAAGTTGAGTTTTGTTTCCCCTCCCCAGTGAAGTCGGCTCTGTGTGCTTTGGCATGCATATTAGAGATACAATTCTGCAAAACAACACAAAGGGAAACACTACATATGCCAGAGCGCAAAGCGTCCAATGCAAACGTTTCCCAGACATGAGAAAAAGAGCTCCCAAATTCTGTGGCCTGTAGCATACTGGCAGGAGATTGATTTGCGCTAAGGGGGGTTATATGAAAACATGCAGAACGTTGGCATTGCTGATTAAGACTGGTGAGAAAGTGTAGCCTATGTCTGTGCGTGTTTCTGTCTGAGCTTGGATATATAGGGGATGTTTGTGCCAATTCCTTAGCATGCAATGCAAATATGTGAGCGTGTTTGCAGAAAGTTTCAGCGCTGCACTCTATAGCCCCCTCTGGTCTCCACGGAAAGTTTTCCTGCTTCCCTTGTTTGTCCAGAGGAGCGGAGATCTAATGAAAACCACCTTGTCATTAACTGGTCCCTAGAAGGACCAATGAATGGTTAACATTCCACCCAGTGACCCAGAGTTAAAAAATCAGCTATAACTAAAACCTCATATGCCATTACAATACTCCAAAGTATTGTTTAATTTTTCCACTTTGGCTCTCCGAAACCCCCCAAAAGTTTTGGCTACCAGCCTAAGATATTAATGGCGGACTTCTCAGATTTGTTATAGACAATGGCACTCTGTTTGTGTATGTTATTGTAACATTTTAAGTCTGAATAAAGATAGACTAATACTAGGCTGAGACTCAGGCCACATTTATCTAGAAAACTGGCAGTGGGCCTGAGAATAGTTTGGAATTCTTGTGTGGGTAATTCACTGTGCAGTGTGAGTCCATTAATAACATGTCAGAAGGACACGAAGCAGGGGATCGGCTCAGGTGTTTATTTGATCCAAACAATACATTCCCAGATTTATATTTAAATTCAGACCACATTTCATCCCCGGTGCTTTCATGTCAGGACTCATACCATTGTGCCATTATTTCAATGGGACCATCATTTTTTTATTCAGACTTTGGTTTTTGTGGGCCAAGGACGACAGGATAAAGATAACTGGTACTGAGAGTAGGAATTTTAACTTTCACATAGCCAAAACCTGTGCTTAAGTGGATGATTCGCCTTCCTTGTGTCCTAATTTACATTTTCCATACTACATAACTCTAGGGTTTGTTCTGTTTTTTTTCCTAGATTAAGAAAGCTTATCGACAGAAAGCCTTGACCTGCCATCCAGACAAGAACCCAGACAACCCAAAAGCAGGTGAGCGAGCCAGTTAATGTTTGTTTGTTTCTCTTCACTTTCTCTCCATCCTGAGCCTCAGACCTCTGTCAGCCACACAGTAGAAATGGATCAAGATGTATTATTTGTATATCCAATTTCTGCATTGTTTTTGAAAGAATTAGGATTAATCATCTGACCGAGCGGCCATCAAACTTTAAATGCTAGCGCTCTCAGCAAGTAATTCCCTGCCAGACAGCCTCACCACAGCACTCTGCAGGAAGTCTAACCAGCGCCTGTTTCGCCCGCCAGCTTTCTAGCAAGACGTGACCAGCCAAGCACCACTGCCACCACCAGTGTTTCCACACTCCGTCCCTGCATGGCTTTATGAGTCCTTCCGCAGCCAGTCGCCAACCAGCATGTCAATAATTAGACCAGGAAATCTCAGTGTAGCGCTTTGTCAGGAGAGGGGAAATAAAAGGCACCTTGGACAAAAGACTGGTCATGAGGCATGTTTTGAAGTGAGGTTTATGTGGTTGCTGGATGGTTCAGACAATTCCTGATTATGTCAGGGAAAAAAGGGAAATTGGTGGGGTTGGGTGGTTGAGAGGGATAATACAAAAGCAGGGGGTCGGTTTCCCAGAAATGGAAAAGCAGCGGTTTGGAGGGCCTCAACACTTGAACCCGCACACAGACAGACTCGGTCTCTATCGCACGAGAGCAGCGAGTCTTGTTGCCCCTCAGGGGGAAGGTTGTGTGCATATAAGAGGTGACTTGGGGGTCATGATTCCACGCTGACAGAAGACACCCCCCATTATTCCACTCATTTTCCTTAAGCCCCCATGTTGTGACAATCTGAGCTGCCTAGTGGGCATGGCAGGTTTCCCCCAGTTGGATTTCATTCCAGCCCATTCTGTGCATTTAGGTAACCTGAGCGCCTCTGCTGGCAGCGTGATCTCCAGAGCCTCCCATTAGCGTTCTCTGCCAGTCCCATAGGGAGTAACAGTATCGGTCCGTTAGGCCTCCCATAAGTGAATGATTAAGCCTGGCGAGTATAGTGAAGTAGTGTGGCGGCTGTATGATGGGGAGTGGGATTGTGGTCTCCCTGTGTACATTTGTGTGTGTGTGAGATGACAACTAGGGAGGTGAAGTCTTGTGTGGTAGCAGTGATTGAGGCAGTGGCCCCTCGAGGTGCTCTAATGGACGATAGACGGAGCGGCCAATGGTTTGTGAAGGAATGCACTGCTCTGTCATCTGAGGAAACAGGTTTCGTGAGACTTACAGCACATTTTAAAGCATAAAATGTCTCAGTTTGTCTCAGCCCCATGTCCTAGCTTCAGCATGAATATATCACACTGAGCACATAATGCCTCTTTTTGCATAAGCCCCCTCTAGATGTCATGTTCTCTTCACATCAACATCACCCTCTCTCTTCTGTCTCTTGTGAATAAGGTGTCAAATTGGCAAAGTAAAAACTGGTGTTATATCATTGTGAAATCATAGCCCTGTTTTTGTTTTTAAAGATCATATTCCACATGTAAAACATTGTTTCCTGAAGCAATAATGTAATGCATTCAAGAGCAGCATTTTCAGTTTTCTTGCTGCTCTCATCCCTTTCTTCTAGTGGAGCTCTTCCACCAGTTGTCCCAGGCTCTTGAGGTGCTAACTGATGCTGCTGCCAAGGTAACTCCTCTAACACCTCCGAACTTGTCATTAAAGCGCGATAAACGCAGACAAATTCATCCTGGTGTGTAATGCTGTTTTCAGGCTGCCTATGATAAGATTTGCGCTGCCAAGAAACAAGCAGAAGAAAGAAACAGGAAACTAGATGACAAGAGGAAGAAAATTAAGCTTGGTAAGTCACTTTGTAATTCTCGAAGTATTTCAAGGTTCTTGATTCACTCGCTATTAAAAATGATTATTGTGTTGGCTTTGTGAAGGTTGTATTTAAATCAAGTCGTCCATATTCCAGAATTAACACAAGGACTGAGCTTTGCTAGAGAAGTGCTAAGGACAGCTGCATGACCTGTCCTGTATGAATTAAGAGCAGCTGTTAGACAGTAACCAGTTATTTAACACTGTTTCATTGTGGAAAAGAGATTTAATATGAGTATATGTAGGACAGATGACTCATCTGTGTGTGTGTGTGTGTGTGTGTGTGTGTTGTTATAACAGATTTGGAGTCCCGAGAGCGACAAGCAGAAGCTCACAGCCAGGAGGAGGTGCAAAACACTAGAACACTTGAGGAAGAGGTAAGAGAATTTAAAGAAACCATGTGAGAGATGATACAGCACCAAATGTTGCCTGGAGAAGATGTAGAAAATAAAATAACAAATGCAACGTACTTCAGGTGTCAGCTGTGTACTAGGAACAAGGTATTCCAGTGCATCCAGGAAACTCTGAAGCACACCCAGGTGCTTTTAGTCTGTTTTTCGTCAAATGCTCCATTCGGATTGATTTGAAATCTTCCACAGACTTGGGTCAGGAACAAAGGCTGTATCTGAGAAAGGGGCTTTTTTTTCCACTGCCATCATAATTATCAGTAAACCCATTAAGTGATATTGCATGACTTGATGCACTTTGTTCAGAAAGCCAATGATAAATAAAAATGGTGTGCATGCTTCCAACGTGAGTCATGGCATGTGCTCAGTGTGCTTAATGCATGTAAATATGTTGCCTTGCCTGGGAGTGGGAGGAGGTAACCAGTAGGTGGCACTGTTCCATTTGGTGTCTCATCCCAAGGTGTTATTGCTTTAACTGAAGAAATAAGGTGATCTGCATATTCTTCCAGAAACACAGGTTAGCAGAAACGGTGTTTTAGAATGGGAGAGCCATACAGGTGATAAATTACGTCCGTGCTTAATGAAGAGTAAAGATGCATAACCTGCTGTCACCCAAAACCAGTATGTCTGTGTACATTACTTTATTGTCAATGTCTGTTTCCACCAGATTGCCCGTTTGAGAGAGGAGGGATCCAGGCAGCTTGAGGAGGAACAGAGGCTCATCAGAGAGCAGATACAGAGAGAAAGGGAAGCGCAGCAGCAGCAAACAGAAGGCTACACTCAGAGCAGTAATGTCCACTTCAAGTTTTAACCTAGCCCAGTCTGCTCTAGTCCACGTTAACCAAACCAATTCACTGCCACCCTGTTCTGCCTGGATAAATCCAGTTTGATCCAGTGAAGTTCTTTTACAATCCTGAAAGCCTCAGCTGAGTGAACCCCCATGTTTCCCAATGACCATTCTGTCAGTCCAACCACAGCAGTCTCCACGCACCCTGTGGTTTACCAAATAACGTTCACACAAATGACAATAACTGAATGTATATTTGAATTTATGTTTTGTTTTAAAACATTTTCAAGAGGTCTGTTTTATTTTTTGTCAGTAAGACAACTTGGCAAGATTAACATAGGAATGCCAAGCACCACGCACACACATAGCTGTCCATCAGACTCTTAACCGCTTGATAATATTTTTGCATTAAAGCCTCGGTGTCTCCATTCTGGAGACATGAAAAAAATGAGGAGTCTTGTAAAATAAGACCATGGAAGTGTGTGTATTTAAGGGGAATTACTGATTCTTGGACATAGACTAGACCCGTTTTTGTGGCTTGACAATTACTCATGCATAGCCAGCACGTCTTTTGAGTCTCTTCCATTTGCAAGCAGTCATGGCCTCCCCAGCCCTCCCACTCTTGTCTGTTCCATCTCAAGAGGCGCTCAGTGGATCATCAGACTGTACATAGGCAGGCCATACATTTACTGCGTGACAGCCCGTTTAAAATTACTGTCCATCTGGATGAGTCCCTCGCCTGGTAATTCCATATATCTTGCCTCAACAAGACAATTGTTTCTTTGTCTTTTCACGAAACTGTCTCATCTCTCCCCTCATGTTTCCCCCCAGACTCAGGAGTGGAGAGATGTTCCAAGAGCAATGTGACCCCCAAATTGAAGGTAAGGCTTTGAACTCTCAACACGGCTGGGAAGAGAAGTCAGGATGAGCAGTTGCAGTTCTTAGAGAATAATGCAGAGAGATGGAAAAGAAAGGGGGGTCCTGCATTTGGAGGAGCTGCTCCATATGAGTGCAAGTGCAGCAGAACGTCTGGATTTGATAGAACCTTTGTTATATTTGTAATCCACATACGCTGTCTCACCACTGAGCACACGTGCTGTTCTAACTCTCATTCCTCCAGAGTAGGCCCGATGTCGTCAAGAGACCTGTAACTATGCCAAGAGAGGGCTTATTATATTTCCTCCTGGAGACGGCCAGGCCTGTGCAAATTAACGGACGCTAGGGATGTTAGCTAATGTGTTTAGACATTAAATCTGGTTTTAAAATTTGATAGCCATCTAATGCAGCAGTGTATTCCCTGACATTTGTGTATTCAGTTAGAAAAACA